AGTAAAAAAATATAAAAATAAAAATAAAAAAAATAAATTAATAAATAACATTAAATTAGAAATGTAAGATAACATAAGGCAACCCGTGAGTAAAGGAGAGCATTGGCTTAGATTACAGTTAAAGTTAAAAAAAAAATAAATTATCAGTAATGATGCATGCAAAGCAAAAATAAAATAAAAATAAATCTAAAAAAAAATGTAAAATTAAATTAGATAATTTCTTCCTCTGCCAATCTTTATGTTCGTGTCAATATCTTTATGACTAACACACACACACACACACACACGCACATACACGTGCTTGTATGTGACATCTTGTAATGCTTGGCCAAGGACACATTTGTTGAAAAGCGAAAGTCTCGTTTGACACAATTGCCACACAACACCCCCAACATGGCGTGTATATGTGTGTGTATGTGTGTGTGTGTGTCTGTGTGTGTGTATTTTCGGTTTGTCTGTCAGCTGTTTGGGAGTGAGCTCATGCTCATGATATTTGAGAACAAATCGTTTATGTGCCATCGCCCCACCCCGCCCCCCATCGCAATGCGTGCCACATTACAACATTTGCTGGCTGTATGAGTTTTCCGCCCTCTCCTGCTGCTGTTGCTCCCTTCCCCCTCACAGTTGCGTTGATGCGATTGTAGTGCTCTGATATTATTGAAATGCCATTTTGATTGGCTTTGATGTTCGGGCAAAAGTAACGATTTCATGTTGCTAAATGTTTTATGGCCCAACACACTGGTCGATGCTCTGATGTGATTAAGCGATAAGTAGTCAGCCATGAAACATGTGGCAATGGTTCGACTCCGGCTCCGGCTGCTGCTGCTGCTCCCCTCTTACATTGCCAATGTCAGTGCCGCCATGTAGCTATGCAGTCGGGCAGCCAGCTGCATATGCACCCATAGTTGGGAGTTTTTGCTGTTTAAATATATAAATTTCATATATTGGCGCTAATTTGATTGAATTTTCCAATTGAGCGACACAGCGCAGGAAAATGTAAGCCTTTATGCCAGTGCGCTTCTTATCCAATTATATGCACTCTCTCGCTCTCTATATAT